CTGAAGGCTGGATCCTCCCTGCCCAAACCAGCCCAGGCAAAGGTTTGCCAAACCCGAGCTTTAGATCTTCCAGTGATGACTATCTCGCAGCCCCTCCGGGAAATGTGTTTCCGTGCTGAACCACCCACATCTAATATCCAACCCAAATTTCTCTGGTTGCAATTATTATATCCCTTGGGGAGGATAGAGGGGGGCTGCATGATACATTTGTTATTGCTGCAGGATCATAAATATTAGCAAGACGGGGCTGTAAAATGCCTAGCAGTAAGTCACCCCTATCAGAAATGCAAAACTATGAAGTCTGTAGGAGTTTTTGGCTTGGGTAGGGAGGGCAGACGAAGCCACTCTTTTCCCAGTGGCTCCACTCAGACTAATCACATTTGGAAGCAGATGTTTGTGTGTCTGTTTTAGAGCCTCTCAAATTTTGCCAAGCATGCAGGATATGACAGTCCTGGGGTCCCTCTTCCAGAGCCAGGCAGCCGGGAAATGGAACGGTACAGATTTAATTGTGAGGACGACAGCGGTAGTGGGTACGTGGGTGGGAATGAGGAATGTTCAGCTTGCTTCAGATTGGTAACTAATCAGGTCAGGCCTTGTCATGCTTCTGTTACTTTTTCTGAGATCCTAAGGCTCAGAATCTGATGAATTTGCAGAGGATGATAATGATTTTCAGAACAAAGCTAATGAGATCTGCCTCATTTTCAAGGGCTGCAGTTTGATTTCTGGAGGAAAGGACAGGGCCAACATACAGCTTCAGCAAACAGGAGACAGATAGCTAGCTTTTTTGCCTCTACTAGGTATGACAAATGTGTAGTTGAGAGGGTTGAACCAGGCCTCAAAAAATATGGGGTCGGTCCCTGCCTCTCCTGCAGCCTCCCTCTGCGATCTGGGCAAGGTTCTTGGAGCCCTGCCTCCCATCTGCAAAAGGAGGCTGGTAATGATTTCTTCCCCTCATCTTCCATTGATGTAGACTGTATACTCACTGGGACAGGAGCCACCTCCTATGTCTATGCCTACTATTATGCTACTCTTTGATGCTGGTGGTTGTGGTTGGTGTTCAGTTAATTAAACTTTATACACTCAGCATCGTTAACACGAGGCTTTCCTAGCACTGTTCATCTGTAGATCTCAAAGTGTCTGATAGAAGCTGTCAGTATCCTAACAGAAGGAAGCCTTGATCTCAGTTGGAGGTTTTAAATTACCACCCTAATATCAGCTATGATTTTTTAGGTGCTGTTACCATGCACGGTCCTCATGAGAACCATTCTTATTACGGGTGAGCCATTCCACAGCACACATAGGAGACAATGCTCTTTCAGCCACATTATGGACCACTATTGACCAGTTACTTTACCACAGAGACCACATGCAGAACCTCAATGCCTTTGCAGTCTCCAAAGCCAATTGCTTGCTTCTCCAGAAACCCTGCTGCTAGGCGAGATGCCAAATGCAAATGTGTATGATGATTATCCCGACTGGCCCCAATGCTGTCAATAGGGATGCTGAGATTGACTTCAGTGGGAGCATAAGGATGGAGGGGTAATAGTCTAAGCATCTGTCCTCCAAAGGGTTCTACATGTTCTCCAATAAATCTAAAGACTGATGGCGAGATGTTATGTCAGTGTAAATCCATGTAACTCCATTGACTTTAATGGAGCTCTCCTGATTTATGCGGGCTGAGGGCCTGAGCCTAAGAGACTATGAGATTAAAACAGTAATTGCAACTGCAATAAAACCATAAATAAGGCCAGTGAGCTAGTCTGGAGGTGGTAAGGCATAAAATGAATGAATAGTCTAAATCATCTGAGAAGAGGACTGGAATGAATTTGTGACCCTTCACAAACATAGGCATAAAAACCTCAATCTTGCCCTGCATTATGAGACAGCTTCGAGAAAAAAAAGGACTGAGACTAGTTTTCAAATACAGATGTCTGCATTCAGATGCTCACAGAAGAACTTGGGCAAGCCAATGTCTATTTTTTTGTGTCCAAGTGTTTGTCTCACTACGGGATCTGGATGGGTTAATTAGATGCCATGTTTTCAGACTAGACCTATCTAAACCATGCTAATGCTACATTTAAGTTTTCAGATACACATTTATTTTTATTTTTTTTACATCTGGCTTGCAATCTTGTACCATAAGCTCTGAGGTGTAGAGTTATCTGCAAAGAGTATACAGAAATGCATCTCTTGGGTTGAGGCAGACAAAGTTCTTTGGGCAAATGTGATATCTTTTACTAGACCAATTAAATAGTTGCGGAAAATTGTTCTGTGCAAGCTTTCCACCACAAACACACTTCTTCAGGCATAGGGAGAGTCTGCTGGTGTTTGTGTGCTCTCCTGGGTTGACTATTTCCTCCACTTGAGAATATTAAGGACTCTCAGTAATGACCCATATCAAGTGCATCTGGAAGCTGTGAGGATGGCACAATGAAGGGGGGATGGCACAATGAAGCTGTGAGGATGGCACAATGAATATTATTGAATATATCAATAACTTGATATTCTCAAGTTATCTAAGGAAAGGACAGAAGAATGAAAAGGGGAAGGCTGTTTACTGCCTCTGCTTATTTTCACACCCATGGTTCTTGGTGGTTCCTTTTCAAATATGCACCTGAGCTGGTCCTTGCTGATTTCTAAGCATGTGGAAGCTGCAAATAAAAGAAACACAATAACTACTATTCACCACTAATGACCACAATCTGGGGGTGAGCCACCTATAACCATCTCTGAGCACCCTTGGTAACCTCCATGAGAATAGCCTTCCTAGTTCAGATCATGAACCCGGTCTGAATTTCTGCAACGTCCAAGATTGCTCAAATCCTGGGCTTTAGCTTGACCCTTCTCAGGTTCTTTGGTACTAGGAAGTAGCACTAAATTAAAATGTTCTCCCATGTAGCCCTTTGCATGTAGCTGGGGCTATGGTCAGGAATGTCATCAACACTAACAGCTTCCACTTCTGGAACATCTCTGGTCCGCAGGTCCGTAATCAGCTTCCTTACTCAACATTGTGAAACTGCTTACAAGCGCATGGAATGACTAATTTAAATAGGGTTGAGCAAAAGTATGGCAATAGGGAATTTGGCCAAAGTAATGGCTATACTAGATCATTACAAACCAAATCCTGAACTCCTCCCTACTTCAATGGATCATTTGAGACCTGGAAATCAGGAGGTCTGGTGTGTGCATAATATGTGTGCAGGGTATGCATGTATGGGTACATGTATGTGTCCCTTCCTGCTGCATTAATAGCTTCTATGCATAACTGGATGGTGGGTGTTATAGCTCCCTTCCATGCTACCGCACAGATGATATGAGATCTTACAGCCCTGGTCTGCAAAGCTTTGCCTTAAGTTATATTAGCTCATGCCTTTTAGTTCTGGAGACCTTAATAGATATGTCAGCCAAAGGAGTGACCATCACCTGGGCACATGCCCTGCTGCAGAGATTATTTGCATTCCTCTCAACCATGACTGGTACAGATGGCTTTGCTTGGGGCTGCAGGTCCATGAGAATGACCGAGACAATTCCCCCACCTAGAACATAGACAGATGTCCAAAAGACACCAGATCACCAAAGGTTAGTGCTGACTTAGTTAAGGAGCACTTGGAAGGGCTGGATGGGTACAAGTCAGCCGGCCCGGATGACCTCCATCCACAGGTGCTGAAGGAATTGGCCAGTGTTATAGCTGAGCTGCTAGCATGACTGTTTGAGCACTCATGGTGCTGCAGCCAGGTCCCTGAGGACTGGAAAAGGGCCAACGTGGTGCCCATTTTTAAGAAGGGGAGAAGGGATGAGCCGGGTAACTTTAGGCCAGCCAATCTTACCTCTATCCCTGGGAAAATACTGGAAAAAATCATCAAAGATTGCATTTGTGAAGGCCCAGCAGGGGAAATGATGCTGAAATGAAACCACCATGGGTTCATCACAGGTAGATCCTGCCTGACAAACCTTACAGCCTTTTACAACCAGGTCACACATTGTCTTGACATGGCAGCTGAGGCTGATGTCATCTACCTGGATTTTAGGAAGGCCTTCGACACAGTTTCTCATCCTATTCTTATAGGGAAGCTAGCAGGCTGTGGAGTGGACACCTACACAGTCAGGTGGGTGGCCAAGGGACGCACCCAGAGAGTGGTGGTGGACAGGTCGGTCTCAGCCTGGAGGGAGGTGGGCAGTGGTGTCCCGCAGGGTTTGGTCCTTGGACCGGTGCTATTTAATATCTTCATCAGCGATTTGGACGAGGGCGTGGAGAGCACCCTCTCCAAGTTTGCAGATGATACCAAGTTATGGGGCAAAGTTAACACACCGGAGGGCAGGGAGCAGATACAGGCTGACCTGGACAGGTTGGATCAATGGGCAGAACTAAATAGGATGCAATTCAACAAAGATAAATGCAAGGTACTCCACCTAGGGAGGAGGAATCCCCAGCACACCTA